GGCTGGGAGGGACAGGGAGGGGGAGGACACGCAGGGGGTTCCCAGCTTGACCGCTGTGAAAGTATTTCTGGGCATTTTCCAGCTGCTTTGCTCCAGAGCGCTCTCTCGCACGCAGACACACACACCCCTTTCTCTCTCTCTCTCTCTCTCTCTCTCTCTCTCTCTCTCTCTCTCTCTCTCTCTCTCTCTCTCTCTCTTAGGGGGACTGGAAAGCTCGGCTGCTGGCGCAACAACGCCACTCAGTTGCAGTTTCAAACACTTCCCTTCTCTGGAGTATCGCAGCCAGGAGGAAGGAAAGAAAGACGAGAACTGGGAGGCCACGGGAGTGAGCTGGGGCAGGACAGGGTCCCGGGCGCACCTTTGGAAGCAGCGGGAATAAACATGGGGCAGGGATTTGGGCTTGTGCTGGCCCGGGCTAGCGGCCGGGATAGTCCTGTGGGCCCGCGCAGCTGCAACACAGGCACCTAGTGGCTCTGGCGTTTTCAACAGAGTCCCCAAAGCCAGAGTATCTGCATTATTCAAGCACGTACAAATATGCAGACCCCAGGCTTTACAGGTGAATCCCCAGTGGTTAAAACGCAATTACATAAAACGCTTTTCCCGACTCAGGTCCCAGTACCTGAGACCAGACTGCTTGCCTCTGGGGATCTAACCGGGCCGCCTCCCCATTTTACAGCTCAGGAAGGCCTAGAGAAAGAGCGACTCAGTGAATGGTCCAGCGCTGGAATCCTGTTACCTGGGTAGACCCTAGTCAGTGCGTTTTCTCCGCTAAGCCACTCTGCAGCAGGAGAGCAGTTTTCGACGCAGAGACTTGGGTCAGTCACATGTCAACCAGGCATAAAGAAAGGACTCCCAAAGCTTTTCCACTTTTAATGAATGAAAGAGCCTGATAGAAAACACCAGTCCTATGCGAGGTTTTGCATTTTGCTTTTTAAACTTTAGGAATAATAAATAAAAGACCTGAAAAGGAGGCCCCTGTGATCCTACCATTCAGTGAAGTAGGGCTGGAACTTGGAAACTTCCATCTAAAGCATAAGTGTTTTTCGGGGGGCAGAGGTGTTTAATTTGCATGATGATGTTTGAGTTCTCTTTGGAGTATACTCTACAGGTAGGAGAAAATGAGAATGATTGAGAAATGAACTGGAATAGAGACTGTTGTCTACAAGATACAAAGTGACTGGTAGAGAAGGGGGAAAGTTGCCAGTTGGAAGCTCTGGCTCCAGGACAGCCGTCTAGGGCATTTCTGCCCCAAGAAGACAAATGAGAGAAGCTTGTGTTCTCCCAACAAGCAGACTCCTTTGCATGAAAACGCCCCACTCCTGTCACTCTCTTATAGACTCCTCAAAAGTACTTAAAATATTTTTAGGGTGTGTGAAATGATGTGTCACCATTCACTTTATCATACACATCCAAGTCTGGAGGTAGTAACTAAGTCTGACCCTCAGAGTTCCTGAAGCCTGACAGATAGTTGGTGGCCCACAATGCTGGCTCAGACCTTACCTCAAATACCTGCCAATAATCTTCTTGCCCCACATGACTCACTCGTCTGCCCCAAATTTAACTAAAATTAAAGACAGTAACAGGTGTCATCATATCTGAGTAACACCACCAAAGAAAGCTACATTTTTTTACATCATCTTCCCTTCTGTCAATATAAGAAAACATAAAAAGGGAGGGAGGGAATAATACATCTAAAAAGCTAGAGTTTAGAGGTGATTGTTTTTTATTTTTAGAACTACAGTGGGACTCAAATGTTTGACAAGAAGCCCAAATTCAAAGACAAAAAGGTGGAGGGCTCCAGAGCAGTATGGAGATGGCAGGGACCATGGGGAACTGCCACTGGATGCTTCTTACTTGAAGAAAAAAAAAAATGCCCCAAGATAATCTTTTTTAAGGACAACACCAACACTCAGAGCAAACCTAAAGGCTAAAAATTCATAACTGCCCCCTATGCCCAATTTTATATCTTTTAGTTTAGCTCAAGTTCCCCCAGAGGTCCCTGAAATCTTCTAAAGGCCATCTGACATTTCTGACCCTTGACTCCCTACTTCACAAACCACACTATTGTGACTATTGCCTGCACTTCCTAGTTAAAGTGATCACCAAATTCTATTGTCATTTAAATGTTTTATAAATGACAAAAAATACCTGATCATGAAAAGGAAAAATCTAATTCTTTTCCAGTCCTTCATGTTTGAAAGACTCCCACATCTTTTGTATTAAAGGTTCTTGTCATCACTGAAGTAAAACAGGGCTAAAATAATTTAAGTCAAAAATCACCTTGTCAAGGAATAAGCCCCTTTTTGAAATATTTTTAAGATTCCTTTTAAAACTTCTGACAATAAGCAGAGCATATAATGAAGTCTTCTTTAGAATATTTGCATTACTGGGCATGAACTTGGAAAACACTCAATGTGTTATGCAAAATCTGCTCTGGTCACTGGGCCCTTGGTTAGAAGGCACAAAATATGGCAATGATAGATTATCTTAACCTTTTCAGTTTAAATACTGTTGGTTCAAATCAAAGGTTCTCAAATCAATGAAGTTTCAAATACAAGGTAAAAATAGGAACTGTTATTTGAATTATGCATTGTGTATATTTTAAGTTAAATGCCATTGGCAAATCTCTCAGATGTTTAATCGTGTGCAATCTGGGAAACACAAATATTTAATTTCACACTTTCATGTGCTCTTTTTTCTTCCATCTTCAGTAAAATTGAACCCCACAAATGGAGAGCTTACTTTTCTTATTACATTGTTAGTTTTTCTCAGCGCATTTTTATGGATTACATTTTCAATAAAATTTTGAACCATCCAAAGTTGTCCTTATGGAAAAACTTTAGAGTTCTAGGGCTGGTGGTGGAGGTCATTTTTTTTCTCTCTCTCTCTCTCTCTCTTTTTCTAATTGAATCAAAGAATGTTTACTATCTCAATGTCACATCCATATTTTTTTAAAATCTACCAATATGTTTAACAGAAATGCAAACAAGTATTACTTTAAAACTTCCATCCAACCACCTAGCCTAACTTTGTAAAATTAGTTTCCTAAATTGTATCTCGGAATTTTATCCATTTGCATTATAATGCATTTAAGATGAATACTTAACAGCGCCGAAGAGTCTCGGATTTCATGCTGTATTTCCCTGTAGTAACAGGTGACATGATAACACTATTATGTAGAAATGCAAGTCTACTGCTACACGTGAAAATCGGTCCCATTCTGTTTGGAAACAAATGATCAATCAGCCTCCGGTGATCAATTGCCCTCCTGGTTGATGGTCAGCGCCGATCCGCACCCGGCAAAGGCATTGAGAAAATTCTGCTGGAAGGGGAACAAGGATCCCAAACTTTGCAAAAGCACCTTGTGCGGCGTCTCAGACTTCGCTGCAACTCCTTCGCTACTCGGGACTGAGGTTCTAGGTTGGGGGCTAGACAGAGGGCAAAGGATGATTTCACTTCGCCAGTGCACTGGAGTGCTTTTCAGTTCGGACTGTGATTTTTTTTTTTTTTCCTTCCTTCTCTATAGAACGAGAAGAAGGCAAAGTGAGCCCTGGTGGTGTGCATGTGTGTTGTAAGGCACAAAACAGGAGCAAAGTGAGTCCCACCCCAGCACCCCGGGGCGGGGGCACTATCCCAGCTCAGGCGGGACTACTCACCGCTGCTGGTAGGATGTGATGCCCTGGACGTTCTGCGGGGTACCGTTGGCGGCGGCGCCGGCCCTCCCCATGCCCGCGCCGGCCGGCACCCCTGCGGCCGCCCCGCCGGCCGCCGCGGCCGTCACCTGCACGCTGAAATCCGGAAAAATTCGGATCATCGCCGCGACTTCGGACCCCGGGTGCTACGACTCTGGGCTGGGGCTGGCGGGGGTTCGGGCTTGGGCTCGGGCGGCGGCGGCAGCAGCAGCGCGAGCAGCGGCGGCGGCAGCAGCGGAGCCAGGCACCAGCCTGCAATCCCATTAGTGAGCCGCGGCCACTGTGCGCGGCGGAGAGGCGCTTTGATGTGCGCGCAGCGGACTGGGGGGGCCTCGAGCTCGAGGAGGAGGTGCGGGGGGCGTGCGAGGGACTTGCAAACAGCAAAACGTGTCAGGGTGGGGCCTTTTTCCCTTTTGGGGGGCAGTGGTGCTCCCCCCTCTTTCCAGGATGTTGCTCTCACTGGCTGCTCAGGCTGCGCCGCGCGAGCCCAGCTGAGGGAAGAAGGGGAGGGGGTAGCGGAGGAAGGATGCACCGGGAGGCTTGGCTAGGACTTGGCCGGTGCAAGGGAATGACGGGCAGTGGAGAGTGCATTTCTTTCCCGCCCCTCTACACACACACACACACACACACACACACACACACACACTCGCCGCGCACTTCCGACCCAAAGTGCTAGACTGAGGCGCGCTCTCTCCCTCCTTTCTCTAGAGAAATAGCCACCATCCAGGCAGGCTCGCGCCTCCAGTGGCTTCCAGCAACCTGGACTCCAGCCTGCATGTGTAGGAATGGGGGCGCAGAGCCTCCCCTCCTAGCCCGGGCCGCTCTTTGCCAGTCTTCTGCACACTATGCAGCGCAAGCCTTGCCAGGCTCAAGTTGGGCTCCTGGAGAACTTGATACTTATCAGGGAGAGATGGTGTGCGAAGGTGGAGGGAAAAGAAGCCGCTTTTGTGCAATGAAGAGTTTGTTCCCTTTATAAGAAAGGACTCTTCCCGCTTCTAGTGGGCGGGCGGGTTGATTCTGGGCAAACTCGTGAGGTGGGTACTGTAGGACCTGCTAGCGGGATCGGAGAGTGCTCTGATGACCCACCTCCACAGGCCCCCTTCCACCGATGAAACGAATAAATTAGCAGCCACAACTGCGAAGAACTCTGCAAATTCCAACCACCGGGGAAACAAAAAGAGAAAGCACGTGCATTTATTTCCTCGCGTCTCACAGTTACTTCTCCACATTGTTGCAGCAATCCTTAGGCGATGAGGAGGGATTCTTTATGGGTTGGGTACTCCTTCTTAAGTGATAACTTGCACTCCTTTCACCCGGCTAAGGGATGTGACGGTGGGAGTTTATCATTTCTTCCACCACCACCCCCACACCCGCCCGGCCTTGGACCCCTGTTGCCCCACTTCCTCCTCTTTCTTCCGGCTAGAGAGCGGGAGCGAAGTTGCAAGCAGTGGGCGCAGCCCCTAAGGGATGCAAGGCTCAGGCGTCCTACCCCTTGCGCTCCCACACTCCCTGCCTGGTTTTGCTATTGCTGCCGGTGGTTTCCCCTTCTCCTACTCTTCTCCTTTCCACTCCCCGCACGCCAAAGCCCCGGCACCACAGCCTGGGGAGGAGTGGTCGCCGCACCCTCAGCTCAAACCCAAGTTGGGCTCAGCGAAGCGTGGTGACCGCTGCCGCGCCGCCCGGGCCCTCGGCCAATAGCGCCTCGCCAGGCGAGACACCTGCTTAACCCTTTGAGCCTGGGGCGCAGCCGGCCCGCCGGGGGCCAGAGGGGCAGAAGGGATTGGCCTGAAGTCGCCAAGCCACAGAGTAGCAGAGGCCGCTCAGCCCAGCGTCTCCGCACACGGTCAAGGGGCCAGGAGTCTGCCCTTGCTGCACACTCAGGCGTCCCCTCCCACCCTGATGGCTCTGGAAAAGAGCCAAGCAGCACAAAGGCGAGTCCTCGCCCCAGTGGCGTCCCACGCCTGCCAGGGCAACCTCTGAGCTTCCCTAACCCAAGTCAGTTTCCGGAGGAGCCTCCCGCGCCCAGCAGCCACAAGGAGACAGAGGGAGGGAGCCTCAGCTCTCGCTGGCCGGGCCCACGGCGCAGCTGCGTTTCCATTTTCCTCTCAAAGAAAATGCTTTGGACGGCAGATAATACCAGGAGATATGAAACTGCTTCGTCCCCCACGTGTTGCACGTAAAAAGAATCGTAATGAGCATCTGTGTCTTGTGCGGAGGATCCCACGAGTTAGTTGAAGACCTGAGCGAGGTCCTGACTCCCTCCTTAGGGTCATTTTTCTAGCTTAACCGGGATACTTGTTGAGAAGCCAAACGCGGGGTTCTTGGAGCCCGGGTTGGGACCGTGGGGGGCGGGGCGAGGTGGGTGGAAAGCCGCCTTGAAAGGATCATAAAAGTGAGTCCGTGGTCCCACGCGGAGCACGCAACGACTAGGTGTCACGGGCTGACTTAGATCTCTGCGCTCTCGCCCCACCGCCTCTCATCCTCAGGGCTGGATCCGAAGAAATTTCAAATAACACTCTTCAGCCCTGGGAAGGCTTTCCAGTTGAAAGAAATGGAGTTCATGCCCATTCTAGGCAGGTATCATAGGCCAAAGGAAGCCTAGTAAATGCCTGATGAATGAAGCTAAAAACTAACTCATATGTGGGCTTTCTATAAAATACCATTTGTCTGAATTATTAGCCCATTTCTGGGGTGGTGCTGTGCCTGCCACTGATGTCTACACCAACCACTTGATGGAGGGCTTCCAGCAAGTGGCTCCTGCCTCCTTGTGACTCCAGTACTGTCATATACTATTTCAGGCCAGATCCTGTTGATCCAGAGGCAGCTAAAATGTGCCAAGTGAGGGGGAAAGGGAGAGAAAACTCTCCTTGGCCAAAAGAGCAGAATTTTTATAACTTTGGTTTCCCTTTTAAAGTCTTTCTACAAATCAACAGTAAGATAGATTTATGAATAAAGAATATCACTTCTTTAATTGTTTCAATCCAATACTATAACTAGAAGAAGCCAGTAATTACATTTTATTACTACATATTTTACATAATAGTTGGTCAGCAAATGGGTGATCCTGTTTCCCTTCCCATTTGGAGGGTAATTTTTACCTGGAAAACCAAAGGACAAAATTGTCCCATTAGAAAGAAAATGTGAGATTTGCTGTTGGACATTTATTTACAATGAAGCCTCTTCAATTATACTATTAAAGAGTTAAATGAGCACATTCAACATCAAAGTTCTAAGCTTTCAATTATCCATTTTTTAAAGGAATTGATAGGACTCCTGCTCTCCGGATCCTTCTTTCCTAAAACAGAAACACACAATATACTTAAAGAAGACTTGCACTATAGTTTACCTTAGAATGCATATGTAAGTCTGTTGTAGTATGCAGAAGAAACAAATTCCTTATTGGAAATGCTTATCTCCATGTTCATTTAGGACCTTAAGCAAAATATAAGTTTATTCTCTCATTAGTAATTCAGATTCATTACTCTCTTTCTTCAGTTAAAATCTTTACATGCTGGCAGCTGTTTTGAAATATTTTGAAAGTTGCTTTGGCGTTCACCCAACCAAAAGGGCTCCAGTTAACACTGAACTGTATACTTTCTCATTATATATCCTCCCCCACCCAAATCTACATATTAGTGTATGTAGACACATAGATAAGAACTGTATGTTTTAACCCTGAATATATACATATGATATGCACAGCTATCACAATCACAGATTTACATTTTTAGCCTTGTACAACTGTGCCTAATGTCCATATGAATAAAATACTTATTCTGGAGAAATTTATTTCCATTTACTTACATGCTTTGATTCTGAATTTTTACTATTTGCTGTCAGAAACTGTCAATGATAGGTTAGGAGAGAAGGAGGCTACAAAGCTTGATTATATCTAATTTTTGTTTTACTTTGGTTATATATTTATAAAATATAAAATAATATACAGAGATTAGGATAAGATAAGGCAAAACAGGAAATAAATGGCATAAAAATCCAATATGCAATGAATAAAGGTAAGAAATGCTTTGCTCAGAAATGTTGGATGTTTTTATAGAAGTGATTATGTTACAATTAGAGATTTTTTTTCTATAAAGAAACTTACATGATAATGTGCACCAATCTGGCGACCACTTTAGTAAGAGCCATGAGCTAGTATTACGGTCCCACCATACCATTTGAAGGAGATTTTACATTCTGTAGAGGGGTTAAATATTTGATTTAACCAATTTTCCATCTCCACTCCTCAATCCAAATTGAATTCAAGCTCTTCCTGCTAAATTTTCCATGCTATTAATATATTCTCCAGTCCATTTAAAAGAAAAACAATAATGTCAGGGAAGGGAAGAATAACATAAACTTAGCAATATAGCCTTTCTCAAATGATCTAGCAGGAAAACTAAAAGAATATTCAATGAATCATTATTTATAATATATGCATGACCATATATAATATATAAGAAAAGTTCTGAGGATTTTTTCATCTTAATACTACATGTATCAAGCACTAAAATAAACTATTTTGCCAAACTAATTCTCAGAGGACTTTATAAATATATAGCTAGGAAAAAAAAGACATTTGGTTAGAAGAAAATCTTTTAGCTACTTTTTTAAAAATTCAGAGGCAGGCAGTAGGGGAGGAAGAATTGTTTAGAAAAATTAGTGTGATGGGGGAGAGTTCTCAGAAATCCATATTTTTTTTCCTTAAAATATTCACACATTATGGCACATATTATTCCAAAGCACATACAAGTCAATAGAATCTAAGATAAACTTAAAAATAAAATAACAGAATACACTCAACATATTTAATAGATGAATTTGACTTTAAGCAACAATCTTTTGCTTTTGTTTAATTCCTTGTGGTACGGTATTTTATTTTGAAGTTGAAATAGTTCTAATTTTTAAGGAAATAGTTTTAAATCTACCTGTGATTATAAAGAAGTCCCAATTGCTGGTTCTAGTTTTGTTTCTTCTATTACCATCATCATAATTGGAACTTGCATGGAACCTCTACTTGCCCCACAGATTCAGCAACCCATGGTAGTTTTTGTTTCAGTGAATATTATATACAGTATTAACTTAAACTCTTGTTCCTATTTGACTTAACTGCTCCAGGTAAGCATTCATATAACCAATGAACTCCTTCTTCACTGAAGTTTCTCATTGATTGTAAAATTATTAATTCAGTAACTGATTGATTGAAGGAGTAGTTAATTGCTTTGGATTGAAATTTTCTTCCAAAATGAAAACAACCATACTAGATGAGTTTTTACATGAATTTTTCATTTTCAGAAGGGTAGGATATTGTATAAAGCTAATCACACAGAAAATCAAACGAGTAGTTTTATTAAGCTCCATGCTGAGTCAACCATTCTGTTTTTATTAAACTGTTATGTCCCTTCACCTAGAGGGATTGTTCTCAGACTTCACCATGCATCAGAATTACAAAAAAAAAAGAGCTTATCAAAACACAAATTTCTGGGCCTTACTTCCATAGGACCTTATTCCATAAATCTGGGGCCGGGCAATCATTTTCATTTCTAACATGTTCCTGGGTTGTGTTAATACAGTTAGCTCAGGTACC